TAAAAACATTTTAAGCTGGAACAACAGCAAATTATATTCAAGCTGGAAAACAGGAAAACAAATCTTCAAAGAGTTCCAAAACAATCTCACCACTAAACCACTCCAGCACCAAGATCATAACGAAAATCACTCTGAACTAACTTCCAGGACACTGAGTCAAAATTCACAAAACCATATCTCAAAAGGAGAAGCTCAAGACTCAGATTCCATGAACCAAATGTCAAAAACAATCCAAAACAGATCCCAATCCATCACACTTCAAAGAGCCAGCTATAGTCAAAGTAACGAATCAAGGATCACTTGTTCACTCAAATGACAAAAACCAGAACACATTTCCAACGCCAGTAAAAAGAAAAAAAAGAACACGAGCCAGAATCAAATATGGCAAAAGAGTCTAACCAGATCCACGAGTGCAGCAGCTCTTTGGTACGCAGAGCCATAAGCGATGGCGTCAGAGCGGCGCTTGAACTTCACATGAGGAATCTGACGTCGAGAGCTGGAGCTGCTGCCACTTTCTACACCGAGCAGAGATTCATCCATATTCTTCGAGGCACGTCGAAGACTTCACAACGAACTGACTGATCTCAGAGGGAAGAAAAGCGAGGCAAATTGGAAATTGATCGGGGAGCTTCAAGTTGGCATTATTATATTAGAAACAAATTGGCTCCACTGAACTATACATCGGTGAAATTTGGAATTTACGGGATTGCCATCCTACTGGAAGGATGGTGACATGGCAGGACAGGGTGGTGTGCCACGTGTAATTGTGGATTGGGGACTGTTTAACTATGTAAGATATTTTGCTTTTCTTTTGATGGACAACTCAACCAATCATATCATAAGCTTTGACCTTTAAACCAAATGACTCACTTATGAACCCTCTAATCGTTCCGCTTACTTTAAATATAGTTAAACTAACTAACATGTTCGATTTTTAATTCTTTGTTCTACAATTTGAGTTCGATAAATATATGATGTGAAAGACGTAAGGCGATTTACAGTTCAAGTTTACTTCTAGCAAATATTGTCTACTTTGGCTCATTACGTATCGTCATTAATCTCACCGTCTTAAAACGTGTTTACTAGAGAGAAGTGGGAGGTTTACACGTATTTGTAAGGAATGTTTTATTCACCTCTTCCACCAACGTGAGATCTTACAATCCTCTCTCTTGAGAGCCCAACGTCCTCGAAAGGTTTCCACCTCAGCATCCTCGAAAGGTTTCCACAGCCTTATAAAAAATGTATCGCTCCTCTCTCCAACTAACGGAAAATCTCACAATTCACTCTCCAACCAATGTGGAATCTTACAGTTCACCTTTTTTGGGGTCCAACGTCCTTGCTATCACATCTCCCAATGTCTGACTTTAATACCATTTATAATAGCCCAAGGCTACACTAGCAAATATTGTTCGCTTTTGCCCATTACGTAAGCCTAACGATTTTAGATAGGATCCCAAGTGTTCCAAAAACCTGGTTTTAAGAAGATTAGATAAGGAAACTGATATACGCCATGGAAAATAATGCACTCAAATTCTCCACCGGTGTGATTGGGACCTCAGCTCAGAAGAAAAGGACTGCTCAACCACCAGTATGTATGGAAGTAAATATAAATTGAAACATAGCAGCTAGATCAGAAAATGATGATAACAACTAAACGTTCAAGTAAACATCAAGAAGGAATCATATTGAAAAATTTGAAAATGCAGGTAGAAGATATTCACACAAGGTTTTAAATCATACAGTCCGACGTTTATAAATCTCACAAACCAGAAAAATATACGTATGAGGCTGGTCATGGCCGGTATCGACTGCAAACGGACGATGATTAAATTACTCTCACCACGCTCTTTGTGGACCTGGACTTGCAGAAGAACTCAACCTGTCTAGAACTCCGTTGAAGTCAACAGGTTCGCCACGGTCCTCCATTCGCTGAATTATACTCGCAACATGGTCGCCCCTGAACCCCATGCCGACCAGTTTCTCGATCAAATGTGAATGGCTCGGGTTCCTGGATGAAACGGGAGGGACTGTAGCAGCCTGAGGAATCTGATGGGGTGCATTGGCTGGAGGATATCCACTTTGGTTGAAGTGCGGTTGTTGAGGCGGATGGTGCGGCGGTCTTCCACTTTCCCTGTCATACATCATATATGCACCTCCAGACGAAAGTGATGGTTGTCCAGGAGGCATATATCCCTCACCTGTTGCTGGTCCATAAGTGTTTTTTACTTGAGGAGGTTGCTGTGAAACAGAACCACCACCTACAGCTGCATGTCCATAAGGCACTGGGTCCGGGCGACTTGAACCGGGATTAGGAATAGATGCAAAAGACATGGTGCTTGACAGAGTCTCTGGCACAGAACTCGGTTGATTCGGTGGATAAGGGTAGCCTGAAGTAGGGGGTGGTCGGATCTGAGTTTGCATAGAAGACTGCTGTGGTGGTTGTGGCTGCTGCGATGGCACCTGCGCCCATTGTTGTTGATATTGATTGAATGGTTGTGGCGGAGATTGACTTAGTTGGGGATTGGTCGAAACATCTTGAGGTTGCAATGCCCGGTGTTGGGGATCGGATGAGATATATTGGCCCGGAGCATGCTGGATATGAGGTGGTTGACCAGACAATTGGGTTGGAGAGAAGTAATACGATTGCTGTTGAGGCACGTTCGGAGGCAAAGTCGCTGAAGCGGGTGCTATAGGATTTTGCTGTGGGACAATCTGATGTGGCAAGGCCAAAGCTAATTGCTGGCCGTGAATCTCGGATAGATTTTCATTCTTTTTAGGATCAGAAGCTACGGATGAAGCTCTCTCCTCGTTCGATTGCAAATGGCTTGATGAAGATGGCTCTTTCTGTGAGACCTGAAGTTTGGCTAGGTCCTTTTGAGTCTCTGCCAGCTCTTGCTTGTCTCTTATAATCTGTACAGACCTGTGGACCTACAGAAATGCGTCGAGTACAAATTTAATGATCAGTATCGAATTCTAAGTAATAAAAATCGATAACAAATACGGGGATCAGAGATGGCTGACACTGTTCACATCTAAGTGTCGACAAGTGATAGGTTTGCAAACTAATACAACGTTTCTATACAATTATTAGAAACGGTGCATGCATTGTATCTATAAATGACCATATAAAATCAACTAAAAAACAACGTCACTAGTTACTTGGAACAGTTCAAGTCCATCGCTAGCAGATATTGTCTTCTTTGGATTTTCCCTTTTGGTATTCCCCTTAAGCTTTTAAAACATGTCTACTATGGAGAGGGTCTAGTCTTAATCTGACCAGTGTCTCGCATCGTTTGGCGACTGGCTCTGATATCATTTGTAACAATTTAAGCCTATTGCTAGCAGATAATGTCCTCTTTGAACTTTCCCTTCTGAGTTTCCCCTCAAAGTTTTAAAACGTGTCTACTAAGGAGAGGTTTCCACACCCTTATAAGGAATGTTTTGTTCCCCAATTTCAAGATCCTCAGTTGTATTACAACTTCCAAACTTTAAAAAGTCGTAAAGTCGTATTTCACCTCTTGTAGATGCTTCTCAAGAGATTTAAGCTTCGAATCCGCCTCTTCATGGTCACGAGCTACATCAGAACGCATTTCTCCAACAGATTTATCGAGGTTATAGCAATACAGTTCAAGTTGTGATAAACGCGAACTTATTCCCTCAAGAAAACGCAAAAGATTATCAGAATGCTTTTTCATGCTGTTCTCTACAGCAGAAATCACATCTTGAGTGATGGAATCATCTGGTTGACCATACGAAGCAGCAGCAGGGAATGCAGTAGACATTCTAACTTTATGAAAATCCTGTTCATATAAATATGTATAACACCAATTAACCACCAAAAAGTACAATTATATAATAATAATAATTGCGTTAAATCTTCCATTCTTTCAGTTCATAAACCCAAACATTCACAAGAATTACTAAAAGATGCTAGAGAAACATATAAGATCCAAAACCCAAAACCACTTAAAAGAAAATGTTCTTCTCTTCTGGACACTCATTCAAAAATTGATTAATTTCCTTGCACATAATGTATTCCTGAGCTTAATGCGCGCTCCACGGGACTCGATCAACAGCCCCGGTTAGGGGCACTCAAAAGCGCTGTTGTCAACGGTGCAATCTATGGTGCCTCCAAGGCATCCCGCCCCATTCCAAAGCAAATCACATGTGAACTCGCTTTGTAACAGCATTGTAACAGCATTTCAACTCAAGATAATTTCCATAAATCTTAAGAGTCTAAGAACATTCCAAAGACTAGTGAGTTTTTTCACGATTCAAGCTAAACTGAATTGAAGAACTAATTTCATTCTGGAGATTGGAAAGCACCAACAACGCTCGCTCAATTATAAACCAGACAGACATGTACTCTAGAACAAAGCTAATGCAAGATGAATCGCCGTGGATTTTAATTCTCTAGCTTCGAAATGAAACTTAAATGTTAAGAAATAAGAATCGAGTTATTCAACTCAACAAAACTTATTGCTAACATCAAAAAATTACAAACCCTAATCGGACCTAACAACGACGAATCAAAATCTTCTATCAAACATTCATAACGCAGAAATCTAAGAACAAATAATACAACAACGAACCTTGCTAGAATTGGTAACGGAGACGGGATCGCTGTGGCTACCGTTCGAAGTGTCTTGTTTAACGTAGTCCTCGTATGAGCAGAGGATATCATCGGAACCAAAATCGAAAGCTTTGGGGGCGGAATTGGAGCGACCTGCTGAACCAGACGCCATAAATCGCACCGAGTAATCGAAAGAACAGGAATGAAGACCAGAATTTTCTTCAGATGCCTTCAAATCTAGGAGGACTTCGTTTAAGTATTAATCATAAAGTTGCGTGCCCGGCAGATTATTTCATTCATAATCTTGGGTTAAGAAATATTAATCAAGGTTAATTAAACATTAAAAAAAGATGGAGCAATATTAAAAAATAATTTTATTATCTGAAATATATATAATGGGAAAAGGAATTTTCTATATGAAATTAGATAATTAAATAACCAAATTTCTATAATTAAGAAGAGATTCATACAAGGTTTAAACTTTAAACATTACAAATACAATCAACTGTTCTTCGTATCTCACAAACCATGTATATACGAGGTGGGAGAACACTGAAATCATAAAAACCAGTCTTTTATTCAATGCATTAAAAAGACGCAATGGCTAGGCTGGTCGTGGCCGATACGAGCCTCAACGAACAAACAGGCGACTCCTCTATGAATAAAATTATGGTCACCATACCCTTTGAGGACCTCCGGGATTACTCAACCCGTCCAGAACAGCGTTGAAGTCGATAGGTTGGCCGCTCTCCTCCATCCTATGAATGACACTGGCAATGTGGTCACTCCTGAAACCCATGCCAACCAGTTTCTCGACTACATCGCCGTAAGGATGGCTTTGGTTGCGCATAAGATGTGCATGACTCGGGTTCCTGGCGACGACGTGGGGGCCTGATTGCTGAGGAATCTGGAGAGATGCATTGGCCGGAGGGTATACACCTTGGTTGAAGTGTGGTTGTTGTTGAGGTTGAGGATGATGGTGTGGTCTTCCGCTTTCCCTATCATACATCATATACGAACCTCCAGACGAAAGTGCAGCTTGGGGTCCGGAAGGTACATATCCTTCTCCGGCTGGTGGTCCAAAAGCATTCTTGACTTGAGGAGGCTGCTGGGGTACGGTACTACCGCTTCCAGCATATCCATAAGGCACGGTGTCTACGCGACTTGAACCCGGCTGAGGCATAGGTGAAAATGTAGCTTGCATAGGCATGCTGTTTGGAAGAGTCTCTGGCATCGACGTTGGTTGATTCATCGAATAAGACAAGTAGACTGAAGAAGGTGGCGGCCTGATCTGAGGTTGCATAGAAGGCTGCTGCTGTTGCGGTGGCTGTACCGGTTGCGGGGGCTGCTGCTGCTGCTGCTGCTGCTGTGTTGTCCATTGTTGTGGATACTGATTGAATTGCTGCGGCGGAGGCGTTTGACTTGGCTGGTGCAACCGAGAAACGTCTTGAAGTTGCTGCTGATATTGGCCCTGGGCATGCTGGATATGGGCGAGTTGATTAGGCAAGTGAGTTGAAGAGATGTAATAAGCTTGCTGTTGAGGCACATTTTGTGGCAAAGCTGCTGGAGGAGGCGGTGTTAGAGGATTTTGCTGTTGGAGAACTTGGTGTGGCAGGGCAAGAGCTAATTGCTGATTGTGATTCTCAGATGGATTTTCGTTCTTAGGATCTGAGGCAACGGGTGAAGCTCTCTCCTCGTTAGAATGCGAATGACTCGATGAAGGCGACTCTTTCTGCACGAGATGAAGTTTGGCCAAGTCTTTTTGAGTCTCAGCAAGCTCTTGCTTGTCTCTTATAATCTGGACAGACCTGTGGACCTACAGAATGGCATCAAGGATAAGTTTGATTCAGAGACAATTCAAACGATCGTTCCAGAAGAAAAACAATGTATTAACAACACGAAATCAATATTTCAAACATTCCTAACCACCTAGATAGCAGGATAAACTAAAACGAAGATATCAACAGAAGAGGAGGCTCGTGATGTGCAACCACGGTTCGTATCAAACAAAGAATCGTCAAGTTTAAGACGAAACCAATTGAGTACTTCAGCATGATCAACAGATACAGTGCATGCCGTGTGTGTCTATAAACAATCATATAGTATCGATAGAAAGCAATATTACTATTCAAAATGATGAAATACAACTTTAAAACGTTTAAAATTTCGTAGCTCACTTCTTGTAGATGCTTCTCAAGAGATTTAAGTTTCAAATCTTCCTCTTCATGGTCACGAATTACGTCTGATCGCATTTCTCCAACGGATTTATCGAGGTTGTAGCAATTCAGTTCAAGTTGAGACAAGCGAGAACTTATTCCCTCCAAAAACCGCAAAATATTATCAGAATACTTTTTCATGCTGTTCTCTACAGTAGAAATCACATCCTGTTTGATAGAATCTTCTGGTTGAGCATACGCCGCAGCAGGATATACAGTCGACATTCTACTTTTGTGAAAATCCTGCTAAAACAAGTATACAGAACTCAATCGATCACGCAATCATACTCATTGAATCCAATCTTATTGGATAAGGCGTAAAACCGAGTAAATGGCGCTTAGTTAACAAAACAGATGAACCAAAAGCCTATAAAACTTTAGACAATAAGACAACTAAGAACACAAAAACACATCTAGTTAGGTTTTTTTTCAAGATTCAAGCCACAATAGAACTAAAAACACCATTAATTTCCATGCAAGCTAAAGAAAGATCGAATCGTTGGAGCCAAATAATCTTATCGGCGTTCTTCCTCTGTAATTTCAACTCTACATGGTCACCCAAAAGTCAAATATCACACAATTTTTTCACAAGAACATTCCAAGAACAAGTTGCAAGTTTGTAAAACGGAAATACAATCAAGTTACAATACCAAAATCCATTGCTAGAATCTAATATTCTCTTCAAGAACAATTGTTCAAGAAAAAACTGGATTAAATCCCTTGCATCAAGTGAAAACAAGGAGCTTAATGACAAGATTTCTGAGCTAACAATAAAATTTTCAGAATCTGGAAGGAAAAACATCCATTAGACTTAGAACCAAACTTTGCAAAGTTCAAGCTAGATCGAACAACTTACGAACCAAGAATATTGACTTTCAATATCAAATTCAACACGGATCTTCATCCCCAGCCTCAAACGCTCATTTCTTAAACCAATAATAATCAAACTCAGATGCTAAATAGCAAAGCATTCCCCTCGTCAAAAATCACGCAACAAAAATCAAATAACTCCATTAACCACAAACCCTAATCGAGGAACACATCGATAATTATCTCTCAAACATCCATAAATTCATAACCTAACGCAAAAAACCCGACTAACACAACTCACCTTGCTAGAATTCGCAACGGAGAGATCGGTATGGGTACCGTTGGAAGATTCCTGGTTACCGTAGTCCTCATATGAACAGAGAATATCATTGGAACCAAAATCGAACGCTTTAGAGCCGGAATTAGGCCGACCAGCAGAACCAGAAGCCATAGATCACAGTAAGGAATCGGAAAATTGAAGCAAAAGCCAAAGGGTCGGCGACTCAAAGGAAGACGAAAGAGAAAAAGCTCTCTTTTTTTTTGCAATTATCGAGAAGAAAAAAAATTCTCCTTCAGACTTTTTCCGCGAAATGAACCTCCATGGATTTGTTTATACCTAACCTTATAAAAATTGATTTCGGTTTTTAAAAATTAAAATTTTAAAATAATAATAATAATAAATTGAAGAAACGTTTAATTTATTGGGTTGATTTGAAGTGTACGGCCAGATATGAAATTTGTGAGATAGGCTCGCCGACCATCTTCCCATTTTGCTGATTGGTCCTTCATTTTTGGTTTATTTCGAATTGTTGCCTTCCTCTAAATGATTGCTTATTAATCAATCATCAACCTCAATTATTGCCCTTAACATTTTGTAAATATGAGAAAATCTTTTAAAAGACAATTTTACCCTCCTTGATATCGGAATTTAACGGGTAACTATTTATTCTTCTGGTCTTCTTATAGATATAATATCTCGTAAATTTGACATAATTTTGACGGAAGATAAATGTCTTCCATTTAAAAAAAAAAACGTACTTAGGTTTTAGAATATTTACCACGGGTAAAAATGAAAAATTTTAAACAAATTAAAAAAAAATAATAGGTATTATATTAATTAAAATATAATAATTTGAAATTATATTACTTTTTTCCATTATTAATTAAAATAAAATGTTTGGAAACCAGCAAGATCCGATGATCAAGGGTTACATGTCATGTATGGTTTTTTTTTCCCGGGCATTTTAAATAAGTTGGAGAAATAAACTATTTTGATTGAAATATTTGAAATTTAGTTTTTGAAAAAATAATAATAATAATAATAATAAGTGATGAAGTTGGAATTTTAAATTTTTTTATTATATATTAAAATGACTAAAATACCGTTATACTATTGCTGCTATAATTCGTGATCTGCTCAATACCAATCAGTGACCACTTCAACCGTAGTTGGACGACCATAGTGTTTTAAATACAAAATTGGACTTACCCATTTAAAAAAATACCGTTCAAAGGCTAAAGTAAAACAAAAAGTTACTAAATGAATGTTTGGTAATAATGCAGTAATAACTAGAATGTTTGTCGGTTGAAGTCGGTAAAAACGACATGAAAAATAGGTTGGTTTTTTATTAAAAGACGTAACCGTTTTTTAATTTTGAAATATTTAAAAAAGATTAGAGATAGTTTATATTATAAAAATCCTAATTTTAATTATTTAGTTGGCTGGTAAAACTTCGTTGGAAAATAACGGCTTAACCGTAGCTTTCCCTTCGGTATATAAAATGGCCGGCCGGCGGCCGTGTTTCCCACCAGCAATTCCCTCCCAAATTTGAGGAAAAACCCACCACTCCATCTCCATGAAGATAGCAGGGCTATTCGCCGTCTCCGTCGCCGCCGCCGCCTCCACCATCATCCTGTCAGCTCCACCGTCCTCCGCCGGCCTCCACAAAACCACCTTCTCCCATCAGGTAACAAGACACTAATTTCTCATTTCTCGGATACCCTTTTATAATCAAACATCTTTGAAAAGAAAATTCTTGGGAATAACCGATGTGGGACGAAATTCAGGAAAAGGTCAACAGAGACGAAGAAATTAGTCCGTCGAGAAGATCGCCGCCGTCCACGGCCGCCAATCACTTTGCTCCGAGATTCGATGGGTTGCGATTCATTGAAACTCTCGTCACTGCTCATAGATAATAAGCTTCGGATTTGGCCCATTTATAAAATTTTCTCGATTAAATTCTAATGAACTAAATTTATAATTTAACCGTTATTGGTTTGATAATACTTTGGTGACTATCCTCATTATACTTGATGCATAGAGATTATTTAAAAGATTTAACATTAAAAAAGAAAAAAAATTAAAAGTATTTAAATTATTTATTTAATATATTAAATATTTAAAAGAAAAAATATATTTATTGTATTTAATATTAGATTTAAATTAGTTAAATGCATATTATAATATTTTATAATATTTAAATATAATTAAAATAAAATGATATTAATCTTTTTTTAATATAAATTATAACTCTTTGATTTTTTTTTTTTTAAAGTTATTACAAACCTTGATCCAGTGTTCTAGATTAAAGATATTCAACCGTTAAGAGAGCTAAACCATATAGATTAACGACCCATCAAAATTTTTTCATATATATTAATTGTAAATTTATTTAATTATAAATAATTCTAAAAACAATTTAGGAGACACATCATTTAATATATACAACCCACAAAACATGGAAACGTGTTCTTCTACAAAAACTCGAAAGTTCAGAGGTGAAACTTTCCGTTCAATCATAAAAAATTATAATAAACATTCAATAGGTAGCTTTCATATCCCAATCCCACCAAAGTTACAGTTAACCGATCAAACAAACACAGAAAGATTCAAAACCTTCGTCGTATAAAGAAAGACAACGAAACGGAGAACGCAAGATAAAGAACTTTACATTCCCTTTTCGTGTTCTAAAGCAATACATGGAGCATAAATACGAGAGCGAGAGAGTAGAGTCGGGACCGAGTTTGACGGAGCGAAAGAGCCGAAGAAAAACTGATGTGGCCACTCCCATCGTGAGAAAGGAGGGTTTTGTCACACTCCAGGCCTTGTTCTCCTCCCTTGCATTGATTGGCAAAGAGGCCAGGTGGGTATTGGCCGTAGAGGTTAATGTAACTGAACATTGTGGTGGCGCAGTTGTTGGTCCGGTCGTTCAATTCTTCCACAAAGCTGCAGCAGAACTCCAACAATGCGTGGCAGCACAGTTTCGCTGGGTACTTTGGCCCTTTGCATTGGCTTGTCAGGATCGTGTAATTTTGCGCTTCCATATCTACCGTGCATTCTGTCGAGTCCCGACACAAAACAAACAACAATTTATACTCAAATTAGACAATATTATATTATCTCTACTATCTCGAACAATCGTCTCCGCCTAATGGATAGTTCAAAATATATCAAATTTATAACTTAACCTTAACGTCGTATCGAACCAGAACATGAAAATTTATACTCAAATTACACAAAACAAACGAGAGTTTATGCTCAAATTAGATAGTATCATATTATCGTGTACGGAGGTCCGTTGTCCTAAAAAATCGTCTCCACGTAATGGGTAGTTTAAAAGATATCAAATTTATAACTTAACTTTAACCCTAACCTCAGATCCAACCAGAACACGAAACGTTTATGCTCAAATTAGACAAAACAAACGAGAGTTTATACTCAAATTAGATAGTATCATATTAATGTGGACGGAGGTCCGTTGTCCTGAACAATCGTCTCCGTTTTATGGGTAGTTTAAAAGATATCAAATTTATAATTTAACCTTAACTTTAACCTCAGATCCAACCACAATACGAAAGGTTTATGCTCAGTAAGATCGAATTGGAACACGAAAAGTTTATGCTCAAATAAAATAAAATAAACTAGAGTTTATGCTGAAATTAGATAGTATCATGGTTCGTTATCCCAAACAATTGTCTTTACTTAACGGGTAGTTCAAAATGTATCAAATTTATAACTTAACGTCAGATCGATTGGAACACGAAAAATTTATGCTTAAATTAGATAGTATCATGATTCGTTGTCCCGAATAATTGTTTCCGCTTAACAGGTAGTTCAAAAGGTATCAAATTTATTGGGTTCGTGTTCATGTTCGGTAAAATAGATCGAACTGGAACACGAAACATGCTAAACGGGTAAAAGGGATTACCTTTTTGGGCTTGAAGAAGGGAACGTCCAGTTGGTTTACCAGCTTTGAGGGCCTCATCTGCAAATACAAACAAATCAAAACCCTAAAAGGAAAATAAATGAAAATTAAAAAAAAAAAAAAAAAAAAAA